CTTGGAGGGAGAACAGCAACCATGGAACCACCCCATCATAGCAGCCAATGTGTATAGAGTACAACAGACCAGGCGCTGCTCACATGCTTAACTCTCAGATGCACTGTCTCTCTTAGTCTTCCAGTCATGTCACTCCCCTCAAGATGAGCCGCAACAGCTAGATAGAGACTGTGGCACACCCAAGATGGCAGTGTATAAGTAATGGAGCTTGGACTTAAACTTAGGTTGGGTCTTCTGCCTGCTGCCTGCTGTCTAGTACAGCCCTCTTCCTTGCTTTTCTAGAACTCCACTTCTTTGTTTTTACCTTCTTGGAAATATGAGCAAAATATTTACAAAATATTTACCACATTATTAATCCCTACATTTGAGCTCCAGCTCAAATTATCTCCCTATCTGACTGGCCTTGCCTTGGCTGGCCAACATGACCTGTCAATGCATTTTAGAGTTCATGGTGAGAAATGATCAGCCTGTCCCTGAGACAGTCCTTTATTGTGCTTAATTGTATGTGTTGTCCAAGTTCTTTCCTTAATTATAATATTTTACTTCCTTCCTGTCATTCCCAAGGCTTAGCTGAAGCTCCAACTACCCTGTGAGTGAGGTCAGCGGGAGATGCACTCCTCCTTGGTGGCACCTTTTTCTCAATTCCTGCTGGAGTTCATGTGAGAACATACAGGCTGAGTTGATGACTTCGTTAGCCGTGAAAGTCTACTAAAAGTATAAACATGGCCACTCGCAAAGGGTCTTGCCTAAATCATACCTAAATTTTAGATATCGTTTTAGGTTTGTCATATGATAAATAAAGCCCAAGTAAAATCTATACATGTATTGGGCTGGAGATTTAGCTCAGCAGTTTGATGGCCTGCTTTGCAAGCACAAAGATCCGAGTTCAGTCCCTGGTACCACAAAAAAAATCTATACATGTACTTCAGGAGCCCACCCCCCAAAATGTATACACTCATCACTCTTATGTCATACTAATAAATGTTTATAAGCTAAGAACCATCATTTTGAGCACCTCTAATAGAAGCCAAAAATAATTTGTATTTATCTCATGATATTTCAATAAATTTAGTATTATAATATTTATACACGTTTTTCTTTTTCTGATGTATACATTTTTGATGAATAGAAACACACACGTAGCTGGACAAGTTGGATTTATTGCTCCTTGCAGTGAAGAAGAGTGAACTTCATGCAAAACTGAGGGGTGTCTCATCAAGAATGTGTTAGGACTTACAGGATTTGGGTTTCAAATGGATTTAGGGGAGATTTCAGGGAAGTATGGCTATGCTCTGGATGGAGTGCTGTCAGAAAGTGGGAGTATTTCTATAAATGGCCATCTTAATAAATATGACCTAGAAATAAAGTACATTAAATTGGTAGAAAAAGCTGTTACTTGTGGAGAAGCTGTAACTGGTAGAGAAGCAGCAGTTTTTCATGTTGAACTAGAGAGGGGAATGGCTGTCTTTACGTGGTCTGCATAGTGCCCTGGGATTTGTCAGTTATTACACAAGATATGCAGTGGTCTCATTTGTGTCTTGATCTGTCACAGTTGTGGAATAAGCCGGTACAATACTGGGATTCTGTGAAATTATTTATTTTCAAGAGAAGAGCCCTGCAGCCTAGCTGGGAACGCCCACCAACCCCTAGGTCAGTAGTGGCAAACCTATGACATGTGTGACATGGAAAGCTGTAAAAGCTTCACCATCACTGCCCTGGGTGCTGAAGTATAGCAGATAGAACACCGGATATCAGGGGCTACAAGTGTTTATAGAAAACCAAAGCAACCACTACAAAATAAATGAGAACCTAACGGTACTGGATGAACAGGAGCCTCCCTGGCTCTCCCCAAAGGCTCCTCAGTTGACATCCACTTTCCCAGCACTAAGATTTATGACTTCTGATGACATGATTCCTTGTTAACTTAGGGAAACTAGAAGTGTGCTGCAGAATTCTCTTCTCTCCACAGTTCCAGGTTAAAGTGGGAACAAGAGAAACATATATAAGATTTGAACACGAGCATGAAACAATAGCTATTCTCACACCCTGAAAGTTGGTAGAGCCTGTCGGACACCGTGACAGTTCATACACAGTGTCACTGATCTGCCAGCTCAGCTTGCTGGGATGAGACAGTATCCAGGCCTGGGGCTCCTCCTACACCTACTGGAAATCCTATTCCAGCTTCTCTGAATCCTGGAAGGTGAGTGTGCACAGCAGATCACTCACGTCACTGACACTGGGAGCAGCGAAGGGAGAAACATGGGTTTCCACTGTCCTCTTGGGTTCCTGTTTGTCCTTGCTCTGCCAACTTCCTGTCTACATTTCTTTTCCAACTCTTGGCCCCGTTGATTCAGATGAAACACCAGGAACAAAGATAAATATCTTTCTGAGACTTCTCCAGTTCCTGCAGTTCTATGTGGTCCTTATACTTCTGCATTCTATGTGACTCTTAAGAGTTCTGAGTCCTCCTGAAAATCTCTAAGTGATGTACATTCTAGATTTCTAGCTAAGAGGAAGCCTCTCATCCTTGGAGTCTTACCATAGTATGTGAGAGCCGTATGCAGTGGAGGAAGCTGGCACACGGAAACTGGCAGACAAATCAAAAGAAAGGCAGAGCCAGAGTCCTGGTATCTCCCTCAAGGGCACCCCCCCATACCTTAACCAGGCCCCGCCCCTTAAAGGCTCCACCCCCTCCCAACGCATCATAGGCTAGCACCCTAGCCTTCAACATATAGGCCTTTAGGGGCCACTTAAGACCCCAAAATAACACTACACATAAGGTAATTCCTTTATACAATATCTCATTTAATCATCACAGCTACCACAGAAAATCCCAAGGTCTTACCCTGCCAATATAGCTCCTGCTGCAGCTGCTGCAGCTGCTGCAGCTGCCCAACTTGCCCAAGAAGAGCAATTGACAGATAAGAATGTAAACTCAGATCTCTTTGATCCACCTTCCATTACACTTTTTGAGATCCAAGCTTTCTAGGGTTAAAACAAAGTCTCTGAGCCACCTGATAAATAAATATCTGTAGACTCAAATCATTCAGCCTCAGTCAAGGCTTCAGTTGACTACCACCTCAGATCACACCACTCTCTAGTTACCAGTCTGCCAAAACTGTGAGTGAATAAGCATTTGTTATTTAAAGCCACTAAGAGCTGGATAACTGGTTCCCAATAATTGATAACTAATACATTGCTTTTAGATTCTAAGCTATGAGGATGGTGGTAGGGGTTGGGTGAAAAAAAGGAAGGCATGACATATGGAAAGCCCCAGGAAATCCTGACCAAAACAGAGAGAGCAGAAGTAATTCTGTTCTGGGTCACAGAGTTACATAGAGATACAGAGATGAGATGAGGAGGCAGGCTGGGAGACAAGTATGTTCACCTCCTGTTTGGGGGCTACAGTCTTTAAAGTTGAAGATAAATTAAGGGAACAGTAAAGTTCCTGTTTGGGTCTATAGGAGTCCAGGATCTCCCGAGGTGCCGTGTAATAATCCTGGGTTCTCCGCTCTCCTGTGGTATGGAAAAGACACAGGAGTTTTCATAAACCCCCAAGAGAGGAAGAGCAGGTCACTAAAATCTGGCAAAAGAAGTCACCACTGTGGCTAGGATGCTGAGTGGTCCAAACCAGAGTCAATAGGAGTCACCACCAGATCTCAGGAGCATCAGCCTCCTTCAAGAACTGAGGAAAAGTCAGGTCAGCAGGAAGGACCACTGAATCACATGGCAGCAGAGAGACAGAACATAAGTTATAGTAGTTACAGACTGTAGTCCAGAAACACCAAAGATTGGGAAAGACTCACCACACACAACCAAGAACCAGCCTGAGGTCAGGAGACCCCATCAAAGATTCAAAACGGGCAGGTCTCCAAGGCATCATTTTGTAGAAAACAAACCTGGAAAGAGGAGAAACAATGAAAGAAGAAATCACTCCAAAGAGAGACTGTTACTGAAAAGGTCATGTTACTATGGCACTTGACTGCACTGAATTCATTGTTTTCCTCCATTATTTAGGGGGAGATCGAATTTGACCTTGAGAGAAAACTGACATAAGCTATAGAAATCTGTGAAGCGATAGGATCTCAGCACATCTGACTCTGATGTGATTTAATGCAAGATGGAATCAGAAAATACAATAAGTATTGAAATTCTTCGAACCTTTGTTACAGTAAAGGACAGATAACCACTAATCTCCCCCAGAATGCTGCCCCTTGCTTAGAATACCCATCGCATGATTCTCACCACTTTCTGAAGCGGTCCTGGAAGTCCCCTTTCATGTGCTGCCGTGGCTGCCTCAGTGTCCTGAATTAATTCAAAACGTTTATTTTCCATGGCCATTTCTACTTTAGAGAAGAGCCGCAAGTCCCATAGTGCCAGATATTTTGAATAAGGTGCCTGAAAACACAACTTGAGGTTTTTATGAGCCTGTTTTTTTGGTTGGATGGCACTTGCCAACAGCATCCACCATATTTATGATCACATCTCGTAAAGACTCACAAAAGAGGACTTGAAGAACTGCTTCAGAAATCAGTAAGAAGGATGGGAGACGTGTATTTGAAGCAAGGGGAGGTGTATCTGTGGGGTACTCGTGGCAATGCGCCTTTTACTGTAAAAAGGCTTTTTAAATTTAAATATTAATAACATATTTTGATACCTTCTGTGTGACTGTAACTGCTATAAAAACATGCTGAAGATGAAAGCAGACTTTCATGCTAGATCTCGGAAATGAGCAGGCAGGGGACACTAGAAATCAGCAAATTCCTGGTTATTTTCCTGTTTGTGCCATATCTGATGGCACCTATGTCTCTCCTCCTCCATTCCACAACTTACCAAGCTCCAAGACTTGGTATTAAGAAGATAGCATTGCTTTGTCACACGCATTATTGGGAAATTATAACCTTTGTCTCTGTGTTAAAGGCCTATCACCAAGACATCTGCCCCATCCATGGAAATTAGAGCAAAAAACAAGCTGAAATGAAAGTACAGTATATTGGTTTTGTAGGTTCGAAGCCAACCTATGTTTTATTAAAATGTGTACAGGAGATCGGAAAGGACAAGACCCAGATGGCACTGTAGCAATATCCACAAAAGCATGCACTGTCCAAGCTCCATTGCCTTGGAATGTCCTGCAGGTAGCTGTTTGAAAGTTGGTTTAGCTGGAGCCTCAAAAGAGGTGCCATGAAGCCCAGCGTGCCCCTAGACCCGCCCTCTCTCAACCACAGCTGGACCTGATAGTTGCATTTCTGAGTGGCTGGAAGGCCATCAGGTCAGTTCAATGGGGAGGTTCTTCGGTCTATTCATATGGTCTTCTTTGAAGAAACTCAGTTCTGGTATCTTCCACATGGTCAGGTCATGCAGTCAGGAAGGCAGTGGCCCACCAAAAACTGAGCATTTCCTAACCTCCACTGAGCTGTGTCCCTGAAATCAGAAGCCCTGGCAAAGCCAAGTTCACGGGCAAAATCACACTTCAGGTTTGCACCACATCACACAGCATCTGTGAGGATGGATGCACAAGGGAGCTTCCCAGTGGGCCTGCAGTGGCTCACTTCATGTTTCTCTCAATCCAGTCTTTAAAAGGCAGCACCTTGGTGAAGGCGGTGGAGATGCTATGGCTGCATGTTTTGTCATAGCTCCAGCTTACCAGCCCTACCAGGTGCCAGCGTGGTTCAGGAGATGCTCTGCCTGGGAAAGACACAGCTGCGATGCCCCCTGTCTCTGCAGTGCAGATATCAGAAGGGGTGGCAGGGTCCTGGCTGGCACAGAACATGTTGTCAGTGATGCTCACTGGGATGTCATGGTCTTCGTGCTGCTCCTCACACAGCAGTGAGTCCACTACCCTGACCGTCCCGGAGCGCAGGGTGTCATTCTTGAAACCAGGGCTCCTCACATCTGCTAGGATGTTCCAGCCAGCCACAGTGATGTGGGAATCCTGGAAGGAGACACTGAGGTCCCGGGTGGAGGCGAGGCAGATGGGCTGGACACGGGTGCTGATGCGGGCCTTGTCCAGGAGCTTCAGGATTGCAATGTCAGCATCGAGCAGTATGGGATCGTAGTTGGGATGCAGAATGATAGCAGAAATCTATGAAGACAAGGAATGGGTAGAATGGTGACCAGCCAGCTCTACGGTGGACTAGAACCGGCAATCACTGGGGCTAAATTACTGGGAGAGGCAGCTATCATCATTTGGAGGTACTTTGCTCAAGGAATCTTTGAAAGCACTTGCTCTACTTTCAGGATTGCAAACCGAAAAGTCTGCTAGGCCCTTGCAGGTGGTGCTAAATAAGGGAGTAGAAGCTGAAAAGAAGGAATATACAATCCATCTAAAGCAGGCAGAGGCCACGTCAGTCCACTGACCACTGCCACACAGAAACGGAGTTGATAATCTACTTTTTTCCAGAGCGTGGGCTCCAGAACTTTACCCGAAACACCTCAAATTATTAATGTTTTTTTTGAATGTTGAAATTTTAACTGATGAAGAAATTATATGCTAACATCACCAAAGCACAAACCCCTGTGGGCTTCCAGTATGCAATTTCTGGTCCACAGTAAGCACTTCCCATACCTTCAAGAAGAAAGATGGAGTCACGTTCCACAAGAACATTCTATAAGGTGTTTCCCATAAAAACGCTCCCAGAGCATCCCATAGCATTTCTCCAGTCTTCACTTATTTGTCCTGTGCCTTGCTGATTATTCTGTTTGATAGAGGACTCTAAAAGCTCATATATGTGAAACCTTATCATTTTTTCCTGTAAGTACTTTTTTTTCTTTTCCACATGTTTGTGGTACACAATGAACATATTCATTATGGGTGGTTGGTACATGTGCACGGCAATCTGAATTCTTCTTATGTTCCTTTCCCCTTCTCTCTTCTCCCTGCCAACATCTCGTGGTCCCCTTCCTATTTACAAAAGATCTATCCCCCTATTTCCTAATTTTCTATCTTTCGTTTTGCTCTTGTAAGGAAATGAATGCACCTCAAATCCATAATTTTAAGTGAAATAATCGGCCACACAAGCTTAAATATCATATGGTTTCTCTTACATAAAAAACCCAAAGTATAAATAAGTTTTAATATATATACTCCATTACTTCTATTGCATTGGAACACATTTCCTTGGGGTTACTCTTGTATAATTCTGATCATGACATATTGGTGTCTGTTGGTATGAACTTTTCAGAGAAAATAGTCATGTGTTATTCTGTATTGTATCTATTTGCAGTGAGTGCCACATGGGAGCCCAACCACTCCCATTAGAGTTCCACTGTGGGTGCTCTAACTATCCAGAGGGCTGGAGAGTTAGAAGAACAGATGAAGAGGTGGATGAATGGATGAACAGATGGTAGGAGGGTGGACGGATGAACAGATGGGTAGGAGGGTGGACAGACAGACAGATGGATAGGCTCAGATGAATGAATGTATAATTGGATGGATGGGTGGATGGGTGGGTGAGTGGGGGTATATGG